CCCCCCTGCCGAGCCCCCGCCCTGGGCAGGCGTGGGAGCTGGGAGTGGAGTGAGGAAGGAGTTAAAGGCAGGAGCCAGAGCGGAGTTTGCTGCAAGTTTGGAGCGGCTCGGATGCCTTCGTGCTGTCGTGGTGCTCATTAGAGCTGACAGGTCTCCCCTCGTGATGCAGACGCTCTCCACTGGCACAGCAGGAGCTCCGTGCTGAAAACTTTATAATTGGTAGCTCCGGTGGCAGGTTCTCCTCTCTGCACACGCAGCTTTCTGCTCGCTTTTCAGCTTTTCCCGCTCCCCCCCCTTCCCTTCCCTCCACTCTTTAAGCCCCAGTAATTGCTTTCAACCTCTCGCTTTAGCCGGGGCTGGGGAGCAGGATGCGAGCGCACGGCTTCGCTTTGCAGCCTCCCCACCCAGGGAGGTTTTGCTGTTTCCCTCCCTCCCCTGCAGCCCCTGTTAGTTTAACTCCAGGCAGAGGCTCCCAAATCTGCTGTCCCCCAAGAAGACATCCGCTGCCACGCACAGTGAGGGGCACAAACTGCCCTGAGCTCCTGCCAGCCCCTGGCTCCTGCACCCAGGCACTGTCATCACATGGGGGGCTCAGTGAGGGACCCTCTGACAGAGACCCCCACCCTGTCCTGCCCTCCTCCTCGACCACTGTCAAGTCCCAGGATGAAATCTCTCCATTTCCACCTGTTTCCCCCTTCCCTTCTCTATTAACCGAATTACTCACGACACATCGGGGAGTTGGAGACGCTGGGAAAGGCACTATTTAAAGAACTGGCTTTCCAAAAATAGCATCCCCGAAGCTGGGCTCCAAAGACCACGCTCAGCCACCAAAATAAGTGGCCTGATTTCCAAAGAGCCCAGTGTGGCTCTCATGGTGGCACAGGCGGGCACGAGGGCTGGGGCACAGCTCAGGTGAACGTGCACCCCCCAGGCAGCACGTGCCTCCCACGTCTGTGGCATCTCCTTGTACCCATAGGGACACTTTGGGCAGGAGGGATGGCTTGTCCCTTCCTCCAGCCCCACTGTAATGGTGCAGGGATGCTGGTATTGGAGGGGGAACCAGCCTGAGGGTCCTCCAGATCCTGATCTCCACTAGGATGTCACCCAGGGCCAGCATTTTGGGGAAGAATGCTTAAAATGAGCCCCTGGGGTGGCTGGTTACCTCTGCAGGGTCCCCGACCTCACTAAGCCCCTCATGTAGAGAGCAACCAAGACACACGTGGGCTTTTCAAACCCGTGTCCTTCAGGGCTGGGGCTGTACCCACCTGTATTTCCAGCTGCTGTACCACTTGCATCTGGACTCGACACTGGGCCGTGCTTCGGTCGTCAAGTGCATGTTCTGTATTGAGGTGTCTGGGGAGGAGAAGATGGGGGTTTGTGCCTGGACGTGCCCAAAACATGGGGCCACAGCTGGGATAGGCCCCGACCTGCAAACTGTCTGTACCACAGCACTGCCCGTGGGTGCCCCTGAGGAGCTGCCCGTGCCAGGGATGCTCCAGCACTGCTGCCCAAAGCGTGAGGAGCAGGAGGGAAACTGAGGCATGAAGGTGGCCAAGCAAATTGGGCTGTGCCTCCTCCCCAAATCCAGGCTGGAGGGAGGAGGTAGACAACCAGCCCTGCCCAGGGCAGCCCTGTGGTGTTTAGGAGCAGTCACTGATTGATGGAAAGCCCTTGAGAAGGCTGCTGGCAGGAGGCACCCAGGAGGACCTGAGGAGCAGGTTTCCAGGACAAAGGCAGCATTATGGAGATTTACTTACACCCTCCAAGGAAAGCACCGAAGGCAGAAGGTGACATTTCCAGGGTGCTCCTCATCCTACTGCTTTTGAGCCTTATAAACTTAAGGCACTTCATGTTTATAAAGCACAGGGACCTTTGGTCCTCACCGCCCTCCCTCCTTCTCGGGGAGGGGAAGGGCTCCCAGCAGAGGCAAGCAGCCAGGGACAGGGACATCACTTGCTGCAGAGCTGGGGACATCCCAGCATCACCTCACAGGGTCCTCATTCCCAGCCCCAGCAAAGCTGCAGCCTGTGGACACACCTCAGGTGTCCCAGGGACACGGACCAATGCTCTCCAGGACCAAGACTGAGATATTTCTGCTGAGACCATCCCAGGAGAAGGTGCCTCAGGAATATCTACCCTTGGTCTGGATGCAGAAGGCAGCAGGAGTCTCGCCTGGCTGTTTGGGAGAAATTTCCAGCCCCAACTTGTGGAAACCAGTTAGGTAACTGGGACCAGCTGCCAAGCCTGTACGTGAGCAAAGCCAGTTGGTGCCTCAGCCCTGCTCTGCCAGGCTGTGGCTGGGCTGAGCCCCTGCTCCCTGCTCCTCTCCCTGCATGGCAGACTGAGGGCATGGCTGGTTCTCCAGGGAAAAAGCTATGGACAGCTCAGGCTGTGCTGAGCATGAATGGAAACGTCTCCTACTGACCCTCACAGGCTTTCATAAACCACTGCTCAAAGGATGCACTGCCCCTCTCCACCCCAGCGCCGGGGCTCCCGAGCCACTCCATGGAGGTGATGCTCAGAGGAGGCTCGATGCCAGTGCCAGGGCTCCAAGCAAGGTCCACACTGCAGCTGGGCTCAGCCCCTGGGAGCTGGAAGTTTCCATCTGTCTGTCCCACACCCTGAGTCGTGCTCACGTTGGCAGAGAGGGGACAGAAACCCTTCACTAGAAAGCAGGCTGCCCCTCGAGAAGCTCGCTGCTGCAAGTGCTGTGTGCTTAGGTGGGCACAGGGACCTGGCTGGCACAGCAAGGCTCTCCTAGCACCACGACCCAGCTCCAGCTTCCAAACCAGAGCTTCCTCATCTGTCCCGTGCCATGTAAACATGCCTGCAGAGGCGGGAGATGCCTTATCTAGGTTCACCCTGTGAGTCAGAGGAAGGAAGATGCAGCAGCTTGACTCATTCGCTCACTCCATCTCCAGCAGGCAACGCTCCCGGGCTGCCTCCCCACCTCCTCATCCTCCTGTGCAAGGCCTAGCTCCTTCCCTGGGAATGAGGAGGCTGGTGCAGTCTGAGGGATGCTCCCACAGGAGCTGGCTCTGACCCTGTGGCAGTGGATGGGATCAGGCTGTGAAAACCCAAAATCTCACCGATGGAGACTCGGTGCCTCGGCCGCCGCGCCAAGCAGACAGCCGGAGAGGCGGGGGCGCAGGGGGGAGAGGAGCAAGCAAAGCCCGTCAGTTCCTTCTGATGTCTTTGCTAAAAATCCCGGCTACAAAGAGATCTAATTGCAAATGAACTAATTAAGTAAACCTCTGACGAAGCGTGAAAACAATTTGTTTGACCCTGACGCTAGCAGAGGGCTCTTCGACAGCGGAGTTAATCAGTCAGCGCCGGAGCCCACAAGCAGTGTCAGCGGGCTGCCGAGCTGCCATCTGCCTCCTCCCCTCCTTCAGCCCCAGGAGGGGAGCACAGACTCCCCTCGCCTGCTGCCTGGGGTCTCTTCTCCTCCTGCAGCAATCGCTGGGGCGTTCTCTCCTTCTGCAAGGGGCTGCCCAGCTCTGGGCAGACAGACTTCGGGGGGTCTGGATTCATTTCCAACGTCTCCCCCTCTCTCAGCACCATGTGGTCCCGGGCTGACAGTGTGGGCTCTCCCTTCCTCCTGGGAAAACCTCCCCCCAAAAAGGGGAGCACTTACTTGACAAACTGTCCCAGGTCCTCACAGAGGGTTTCGCAGCCAGGCCACTTGCACTCTCCGTGGCCGTAGAGTGGGTGGGAGCCGGGGGTCTCTTCATGGGAAGAGCTGCAGAAGAAGGAAAGGGACCATCAGATGGGGCAGCCGTGATGCTCCAGCGTTCCCTTGATGCTCCAGAATTCCCATGCACGGAGCAACACCTCAGGGACCCACGGGAGACTCCACAGTGTTGGCTCCCTGCCCTCCATTGGGCACATGGGAGCAGCAAAACAGTGCTAGAACTTGTGGGCAGAAACCCTCCAACCCTCCCAACTCTGTTGCCAGCCCCACGGGTGACAGATCCCAGCCCCTTCCACCTCTCTGGGGGTTAAACCAAAGCTCCAGGGTCCGACTGGCTCTACCTGTCCCTTCTCGGCGTGTGCATGGTGCTCTGTCCATTGGGCAGAGGGTGATGGGAAATGGGAGGCGAGACCTTGGCGGCCGAAAACGAGGTAGAGTTGGAGGTGTTGGTGGTGAGGTCGAGACCTTCTTGCTTAATGCTGTCCTCGACGGGCTGGGCAGCTGTGACCTCCTTCCAGAGCTGCTGGAGGTCCGAGGGGCACACAGCTATGGCACGGGGAGAAAGCGCCCGATATCCTATGGCACGGGGAGAAAGTACCCAATGTCAGCAGGAGGAGCAGCACCCACTGGCACCCACTGCTGGGCTGGCTCAGGACCCCACGGGCTCCCTCCTCGCCCTGGCCAGTGCAGCTCAGCTCCCCAAAGCTCAGGCAGCCTGGCACAGACTGTGTACCAGGAAATCACAGAATTGTTCTGGTTGGAAGAGACCTTTCAGACCATGGACTCCAACCGTGCCCCCAGCACTGCCAGGTCCCCACTGCCCCGTGTCCCTCACCCCACATCTCCACGGCTTG